TGCCGTGGAAGCGGATGGGACTGGGGCAACGGGGGTGCGTGCAGGTTGACCCTGCGAAGTAGCCTTGCGCTTGGTGCTCGCGGACGAAGGTTTGGACGGTTGCTGACGGGCTAGACCCCCCTGCAGGAGGCCCACCGAACAAGCCGTACCCTCCGCAATCAGGACCAACGTCTATGAGAACTGCGGGACTTGGATCGCCCCCACCGTATTGGGGGGTGGGGGGGCGAGGGTGTTGCGCTGCCGGAGCGCGCTAGCTTCGGTAGTCAGACGACTGACGAAATCGGCCCAATCGAGGTTGGCGTCTTGCTTGAACTTGGCGAAGACGTCGGCCTCGCGGCCCTTGAACTCGATGCAGTGGCGGGACGAGTACCGGCGGAGGTCCTCGGAGATCCTGAAGAGCTCCCGGAAAAACAGGCCAACTCGGTCGGCCCCGGCCGCAGAGGCGCCCGACATGCCGTCCTTGATGAAAACTTCCAGGACGCGAATGAAGGTGTCGAGATGCACGTCGAACGTGCGTGTCACCGCCGCTACCNCGACGAAATCGGCCCAATTGAGGTTGGCGTCTTGCTTGAACCTGGCGAAGACGTCGGCCTCGCGGCCCTTCAACTCGGCGCAGTGGCGGGACGAGTACCGGCGGAGGTCCTCGAAGATCCTGAAGAGTTCCCGGGAAACCAGGCCGACTCGGTCGGCTCCGGCCGAAGAGGCGCCCGACATGCCGTCCTTGATGAAAACTTCCAGGACGCGAATGATGGTGTCGAGATACACGTCGAACGTGTGTGTCACCGCCGCTACCCCCGGGGGGCGCGGCGGCGAGAACGCCGCGATGTCGATGGCGCTGAAGGTAAGCAGCGCGTGCAGGCCCGGTTGCGGGTGGGCCACGTCCCGGATGATGTGGTCGAACTCGCCCCCGTCATGGCGATAGGCGAGAAGGTAGCGCCTCGCATTAAGTACAGGGCCGCTTGGCCGTCCTTTTCCCACGTGCGGCTCTCCAGCTTTTGGGCTTCTTTCAGCCGATAGACATTGTATATAGGCGCGGCCCCCGGGATGCTCCCGAGCTGTTGGTATCCCTGGGGCGCGGCCGACTGGTGGTAGTGCTGGCAGGGGTAGGCCTGGAGTTGTTGGTGTTGATACTGTTGTTGCAGCGGTTGCGGCTGCGGCGGCTGCTGCTGCTGGTGAGATTGTTCCTGCTGCTGCTGCTGCTGCTGCTGCTGCTGCTGCTGTTGCTGCTGCTGCTGCTGCTGATGTTGGTGCGGCTACTGCTGCTGCTGCTGGTGCTGCTGCGGCGGCGCTTGGACCAGGGAGAGGACGACTAAGTGGCTATTGTGGGAGGCGGAGCCGCCCTGGGCATTGTTGTGGGCCGCGGCGCCCTGCGCGAGCTGCCGGTTGCCAGTCAAGTTTACCACCACCTCCTGGAGAGACCGGATCTGTTGTTGCTGGCGATGGCCCTGATTCACGAGCTGTTGAAGCAGCGAGAAGAGGTTCGGATTGCTCCCGACTCCCTGTTGCTGCTGATGCTGCTGGGGCTGTTGATGCTGCCCTTGCTGCTGCTGCTGCTGCTGTTGCATCAGCTGAGGTCGGGGGGCTCCGTGAATCATGGGCGGCGGCGGCGGAATTGCTACCGCCGGGCCGCCGGCGTTTGGTTGGTGCGGTTGGCCATGCTGGTGTCCCTGCTGCTGCTGCTGCTGCTGTTGCGCCTGACCCTGCTGCTGCTGCTGTTGTTGTTGTTGCTGCTGCTGCCTGTTTTGGTCGTCCCCGCCAATGGCAGCCGAGTGTGGAGGACTTCCGCCCCCCGAGTTGCCTTGTATGGCCGCCGCGGCGACTGCCGCGGCGACCGCGCTCGCCGGTTGCCCATCATTGCCGTCAATCCCCAAATCGATCGAATCCTAGGCGGCACTCCGTGCTTGATGCTCCTCAAAGCTGATATCTCTGCTACTCCTCTCCTTCTCTCAAATGCACTTGCTTGTCTCTCGCCCAGCGAGAGCACAAAAACTTTCTGACACCAGGGCTGTCTCTATTTTTCTTCGATCCCCGCTTTTCCGAATTCCAACACGCCTCCATAAACCACAGATTCCAATACGTACTGAATCTTCTCGTTTGAGGGTTCCAGACAGTGCTCTGGCTCAAGGGTAGAAAATGATTCTCAATACTCGAAATGCATAGCTGGGGGAACCTGCATGCCTTTTGCAATGGCTTTGAGAGAGTTCTTCTCCATACAGTCGTACAATAATCCATCATGCTATTTCAGGCTGCAACAACACACCGTTGTTGAGTCCCTTCTCTATCGAGGGGGTCAGATCGAATTCAATGCTTGCAATCAGAATCTCTACATGTGGCTCGGACGTAAAACCCTTATTTAGATTATTATTGTTGTTGCGGGCATTTGTAGTAGAAATAATTGTGACCATGATGAATACGACACGTTCGTCCCGTCAAAAAACAGAAGGTTTGGGAACTCTGAGAGGCCTCCTACCCAAGTTTTCTCCTGTGTCAGAAATGCCGGCTCAGTTTCTAGGCCTACAGATCAGATTGTTGCATTCCTAATCAAAATGCCCAACATAATGCATTTCAGTGTTTACATGTTGCCTAATTGCGACTCAGTTACAGTGAGTTCAAATCTTCTTTGGAACGCTCGGGTAAAATTAATCCGCGATATCGACCCGTCGGTGCTTGTCAAGTTTTCGAAGCTGTATGACAGAATTTGCAATATTATTGTACATTCATTAGTAGAACAGTTACACACACCATTTCTTACTTTTTGTGCTCTAGGGACTTCGAAATGACATGTTACCGTACTCCACGGAAAATTGTGCAATTCAGTGCCTCGCGGCGGGTACTGCTCTTCGAGTTTTATAGTTAATTTCTTGGAGCTTTCCCGAAAGGAAGCTCGGCGGTTGGTTGTAGGCGCCAGAATTCTCTCAAGGCAACAATTGTTTTTAACAAGTCACGGAGCGGATTTGGCGTTCTTCAGGAATATTAAAAGGGCAAACGACACAACAGGGTGTACCCTGGTCGAAAAGCGACACACCTGGGTACACAGTCATCAACAGCAGTGAATGCACTCATATCATTGGTCAGCGCCCAATTTCACCCCGGTGCGTCCGAAAGGCGCAGGGTATACCCTGCCGTGACTACTTTTCTCAACAACTGAAGCATGTTTTCGGAAATCTACCTTGTTTTCGGAAATGTACCCTGACCTGTCTGTCGGGAAATTAGACCCTTTCATTAATCATTCCCCCGCAAGAATCTTCCCAACTCCTCTTCCCCTTCAACCATGGGATACCAAACGGCCACTCTTCCCGCCCAATAACAACCATGGCAACGGGGCAGGAATCAGTTTTCTGGCCCCTGCGAAACAACACCAACTGTCAACTCTTCCGCTTTAAGTCAAGAATGGCCGAGCAACACGTATCCCAGCACAATTTTTCCATTTGGAAACATGCACACGCGCGTACGATACCCCGTGGACGACTGCTTGCTGCAGTCTATATGCGAGACGCACGGGTCACGCTGTGAAAGCGAGACCGATTCAGCATGGTTGGCATGCATAGCACGTGCCATTGTGTGGCGCTGGGCTGGCGGCGAGCTCGCGCCCGCAACGAGGGTGGAGTGGAGAGGCAGGACCAGCACACACAGACTCGCCCTTGACATCAATCGAGCACACACAAGTCTTATTCTTACTCTAGCAGCGGGAAACTGCTGTGTCGTGCAACCCGATCACCCTCCCTGTCGATTGAGAGAAGAAAGATTACTCGCGTTGTATTTCATCGGCTCATCCGGCTGAAGCCTGACGTTTTCATACTACATTGATTGGTCGGCTTGGTCGGCTGGTAAGCGTGACCGCTGCCGCCACAGCAGTACTTCAGGCAAAAACATCGCGATTGACACAAAACAGACAACGCCCGCACGCACACACGGCACATCGCGATTCAGAAACACAACAGACAACACACGCACGCACACATGCTTCATGTCAGCCATGCTGGATCGGTCTCACTTTCACAGCATGACCCGTACGTCTCGGATGTAGACTGCAGCAAACAGTCGTCCACGGAGTATCGTTCGCGCGTGTGCATGTTTTCAAACTGAACAAGTGTGCTGGGATACGTGTTGCCCGGCCATTGCTGACTTACAACAGCGAAAGAGTTGATGGTTGGTGTTGTTTCGCAGGAGCGGAAACTGATTCCTGCTCCATTGCCATGGTTGTTGTTGGGTGGGAAGAGTGACCGTTCGGTATCTCATGGTTGGAAAAAGAAGTTGAAAGATTCCTGCGGGGGAAATGATTAATTGTTGTTGTTGTTGTCTTCACATTTAACGGTATGTCAGTTGCTAAATGCCAAAATCTAGCAAAAGACTCTCAGCCCGTGGTCACGACAGTGCTAGAGCCATCTGAGGATCTAAAGAACACGCACACATGCAACGAGAAAAAGGTATCCAAGAGCCCGAAGAGGTACACCTAAAAATCCCTGCCGCACCGTAAGCGTGCCCAAAAACTGAACTGCACGTCCGGACCCTTTTGGCCTTGGTTGCGGTGTTGACGGCTCGCGCATCTAGCGCACTGCTTTCGCTCTCCACCGCTACCGCCGTCTCTCTCCAATCAAGTTTCCTTCTCCAACGCTTTCTCCAACGCCAACGCCATCTCTATCTCTACCTCTCTCTCTCGGCCTAACACGGCCGACTACCCACTGCCCCAAGAGACGCCCAACACGGGCTTGCTGCACCCCGCGTAGTTTACCTTTCAACAGGAAAGGTAGTCCGTTCAGACAAAAGTTTGTTTGGACTGAGACAGGCATCTAGAACATTTCACAAGAGACTTGTGTCGGACCTGAAGAGGATTGGTTTCGAACAGTCTGTGTCAGACCCCTGTGTTCTTCGTTTCATGATGGGAGACGAGGTGTTGGGTNGGAAAGGTAGTCCGTTCAGACAAAAGTTTGTTTGGACTGAGACAGGCATCTAGAACATTTCACAAGAGACTTGTGTCGGACCTGAAGAGGATTGGTTTCGAACAGTCTGTGTCAGACCCCTGTGTTCTTCGTTTCATGATGGGAGACGAGGTGTTGGGTATGATTGCGATTCATGTGGATGACATTCTGTATGCAGGAATTGAGAGGCTTGCCAAGATGGTTGTGAAAGCGCTAGGTGACTCTCTCCCCACGAAGAATTTGGGAAGGTCAGGTTCTTTCTTGGTTGCGCATTCGTTCGCCCCCGCGAGGCTGGTACGATTGAGATGTCTCAAGAGAGTTACATCAGGAGTGTTCTTGACAGATTCAATGTTTGTCGCACCAGCTCGATCCCTGCTTCCCCTGCAAACGATTACAGGTCCGTGATGGAGGATGAGGGGGCAGGAGGTGTGCCGTTCCGAGAGGTGGTGGGGAGCCTGATATAGATCGCCAGCCAGACAAGGCCCGACATCTCGAATGCTGTGCGGGCGGTGGCAAGGCACTNCAGATTCAATGTTTGTCGCACCAGCTCGATCCCTGCTTCCCCTGCAAACGATTACAGGTCCGTGATGGAGGATGAGGGGGCAGGAGGTGTGCCGTTCCGAGAGGTGGTGGGGAGCCTGATATAGATCGCCAGCCAGACAAGGCCCGACATCTCGAATGCTGTGCGGGCGGTGGCAAGGCACTCTCACGAGCCAAAGAGAGGCCACTGGAAGGCGGCCCAGAAGATTCAAAATTATCTTCTGGAGACGGCACATCAAACTTTCAAGTACAAGCAGGACACTATGGTAGACGTAGGCACGTTGGTGTTATCGGAACACAAAGACTCAACAGACAGGGGCTAACGTACTTTGCAACGTACCATGAATCCTCTGACTGATGCACTATCCACAAGGAACACACTCGGGGTAATGCACCATCCACGAAGAACATTCCCACAGAACGTCCCTTGCTGTTCTGATAATATCTGGCTACTCAATCAACGATCTTCAACGCAGACAGTCCCGCAATTCAAACTGTCCAATCAAATTGTTTTACGTCACTCTGTCGACACACACAGCAGCAACTGTCACGAACAGGACTGTTGTTGGACCGCACTTTTGAGGGGGGGGTTGCAGGTAGACAGCCGTGCCCACACGGGCCGTGTACTGAAGGTACTGCGGTTACATTCGGCGCTCGAAACGTTCCTTCTAATCATCCCTATGAGAATAACGGAAGTGAGGTGTGAACCATTGGTCAATATACTCTTTCTAATGTAACCTTGGGAATTTGTTGAATTTCACGATGGAATGGCGGTGTCGTGGCAAGGTGGTTATGCATTTGGAAATAAATAGAAGCGCTTCGCTTTTTCGGACGCCCATCGAGAAGAAGAAATTTGGCCTCATGACCTTGGGAGCCTATCTGTGTAGATTGTGTAGATTGTTCGCGTGTGGTGGTGTTTGTCTTTCTCTCCCTATCTTTCTCAAATTGTTGAGGAATATTTAGTGACATTTCATCCACGGCGTTTGGTAGGACGATCGGCAGCAGGGTCGGCGAAAAAGAGGTCTAGAAATTCAGAAATGAATTCCAGGCTGTGTTCTGATAGGCTTCCAGGAGGGAGACGCAGCCGTCGCCACCATTCGGGTGCTCTGCACGCTGCCTGGCCACCGTATCGGTCGCCTTGACATGGATTATCCAGCTCAAGTACATCGTGAATCTCCTCCTGTTGATCAGCCTGTGGCTCAGGTAGTCGCGGTGTGCATGCACGTCGATCACGGTGTGCCTAGAAACTGCCGCACAACACTTTCAAAAAAGTGTGCACGGAAGAATTCAATCCTGCAATGAATGTCTCAGTCATCGGGCCATGTTTTCACAAGAAACCCATAGAAGCCAAGCAGAATACGGACCTCCTAAACCACATACCCTCACCAGTTCTCTTGGAACCACTGTTAAACTCTCTTTCCCCACAACATTGCATTGCTAGTTTCGAAACAGCGTTCGGTCCAAGGGCTTCCTCTCCAGGCCGTTTCAAAGGACAAGGATGCCTTGGGCGATCGAGTACGGAGCCTTTGTGTCAATACATAATTATATCGCGCATACGCATAATAAACACAAGGTTGGTCGTGCCCGGGTATTATGAAGGCACTACCTGAAACCATTCAGGGAAATCGATCGCCCGCTCATCCTTGACTCGATTCCCCTCCTAAGCCCAACGGAGCTGTATTTCGTTTTCCCGTACTTTCTTCAGGATTGGTGGCAAATTCTACGTCGCGCACAATATTCGGGAAATATGCGCCCGTCCTGCAACACGTTCGAGCTTAGGCCATGGGCAAGCCATCAGCCAAGCAACACACCAACTGTCGCTCGGCTTGGCAAAGATGTCGATCTCAGCCTCCGGAAAGCCGAACGGCCCAGCCTAACATGAGGTTCGTCTTCCTCGATGGGGAGAATGCTCGGGTAGTAGCCCTCTCGAACGCCGAGCTGTTTGCAGACGGCAGCTGCTGCTCTCCTCCCTTCCACAAGAGCCTTTTCCTACGAAACAATTCAGATTGGAGAGTTCAATGGAGTTGTGGTGCTGGATGCGCCATCTCGAAACTATTTAGCTATTTAGGACGTTTGCATTACAGGCATGCACTCCCAGAAAAACGGCCACATGGACGGGGTCCGCCTGTGAACGTGTTGGTTGACCGCCAAGCTGGACTCCGTTGTCTTTCACGGAAAAAGCGAACGGTACGTGAGTCCATCGATGGGGCCTCAGCGACGCTCCGTGCACGTGAACTTTCCACGAACTATTGTTGCCTGGCAGGCACCCTTCCTGCGAATCCGGATCGGTTTGTCTTGCTACACTACTCTGATGACGTAAATAACGTTTCTCTACACCAACTACGATCAGCAAGAGTGCATCCTTGGCACGCAAGGCTGCATAAATGATGATAAAATCGCAAATGCATTAGCTTTCCCAACCATGTCGGGTCCTCGTCCATGTTTTCGTGGCGCGATCCCTGAACGTCGGAAAAAACGCAACCAGAACGTGCTTCGAGAAACATTTCAAGTTGACGCTACAGCGACGGCTGAGGGCACTGTCGCGGCGATACCCGTCCGACACATCGGACGCTTGGAGTTGACGAAAACCGTAGTGACAGCGATCGTGGTCCAGCGACGCAGGGCAGCACACGACGCTGAGAGGGTTGTAACACACGCCCCTTCGCCTATGTGGCTGGCCCTCCATTTGGTCGGTGCACCGGCATGGAGCGGGGACGCGACTCGTTCCGACCCCCAAGGCTCTTAACCAAACAACCCTTACCGATATATCGTCTACCGTCTGACCTGTGACCACGATCGGTGTCCTCCTCGGCATACCCAATCGCCGCACATGAACACCAACGGGAGCTCCGCTGACGGCTGAATCCGGGGCAAGTGTTGGAAAGCGCCAGGGAAGAAGTGGCTGACCGCCTGGCCATACCATCAACAGGACACCGTATGCAGACGTCGATCATCCGCATGTGCCGAGCTATCCCGAGGTAAAATCTCACTGATAATTATTTCCCGACTGGCAATGACGGCGATCGCCAAAACCGTCGATGAAACAACGTGTTTCTGCCTGCTGGTACGCATCAGGTGATCATCACCACTCTTTTCGACAAACAAAGCCACATGACGGCACATGCATACATCTGACCAGACCTGTCTTGTTGATAAATTTCCATGATGGGTTGCTAACGCCAGGTCATTCCGAGGCAAGAGGCTGATGTTCGTTCAGGACAGTATCTCCGAGTCACATCTTGGTCGTAGACAAGATTCGCCTAGACCTTTTCTTTATTTATGAGAACAAATCATAATTTTCCCACACACCTTGACCCAAGACGTGCCTTAGAGGGCAGTCCCACAACACTCTTGGTGTGCGCAAAAGAAGGTAGTGTGTGCTATTGCCAAGCTAAAAATCAAGCTGTAGTCTCACACAGTGTGAGACCTGTACCTCGCACAGTTGTGAAAGATGTTACGTGACATCGCATCAATGATCAACTTCAAAGAGACGACCACGCACAAACCACAAAAAACATACTTTCGCCCAACAAAACTTGCAACAGGCCGAATATGCCGCTCAAATCTTGAGACAAACTTCCAAGATATATTCACAACATTCGTCCCATAGAGACCAGTGTGAGAGCTGATTCTACTGAACATCATGAGTGTATGAATAAAAAACCAGGCAGTACTAGCGAGATCATTTCCGGAGCCACAACACTGTGACACCAGAGTCCAATTATGAGGGAAAGCATTGAACCGGAACAGACGACACTCTTGAGGGCCGATATCGCGACACTAACCCGCTCCATCCGGGTTAGGGTTAGGGTTAGGGTTATGGTTAGGGTTAGGGTTAGGGTTAGGGTTAGGGTTGGGGTTAGGGTACAGAGAACTGTGTGGCGACATCCGGCCGGGTAGCCCAGCTTTGGCAACCATGCAACAGCATAGAAGTATAAATTAAACTTCATTTTCTGGGAGCAAACAACGAATCACCTGAGGTGCACGGACCACCGCAAAGTCTTCAAGCATGTCGCTCGTAACGCCTAGCTCGGGGAGCGCCTGAAGCCACAACGTCAACAAAAAAAAACAGAGTGAATTTTCTCTTGCGGGCCGCAGTTGAACGGGTTCGCCATGGGGGAACGAGACAACGGCCGAGCCGTCATGTGCATCTCTTCAAGAACTCGAGTCCATTTTTGTCTGGATTGCGTAGACAAGTGTACCCACTGTGTGTGGACCCAACAAAAGACATCAACCTTTTGGAGTGAGTGGCGCGTGTGGTGGTTCACGACGTTTTTAGACAAAAAAATGTCGTTTATCCGGGTCATATTGTAGTCCAGCCAAGGATTCAGGTCTGGCACATCGAACAACAAACATCGGTTTCGACACACGTCATCATTGCAATATCAGAGCATCTGTGCATATGCAGGCCAACGCTGCTCCCAACCCTGACCCTACCCATTCTTGACACCAGAGCACCACCTTATACACGCACGCCAATGGTGAGGGTAACGTGGGCATCGGGGGAGTACAGCTCGATGGGCTTGATTGCCACCTGAGATACACATGACCGAATGAGATGGAGCGAAGGATGGATTGATACATGTACCGGGTCGGAGGGGTGTTCTCACCTGGTTGAGGGCTTCAAGGGCGGTCTCCATGATGCCTTCATCGCTCATCGGTAGCAGAGGGCTGGCGTGGTACATGTCAACCTGAATGCAACGGACCACCACACGGTTGTCGTTTCAGCATCAGCTGCTTTTGCTGTCGACTTCTACATGGAACTCATGCCATGATATGAATCAAGCAAGCCCTTGCTCGCAAGCCTGGCACCCCACCGTTCCAAGAAGGTAGGTCCACGGGAGCAGTGCCGAGTGATGGGGATCGATACATGGTACCAGCACACCTTGCCCACCCACAGCAGTAGCACGGAAACCTCAAGGAACAGAGATGTTGAATACATCAATCTACAGCAAGGCCGCCCCTCCAGAGTGATACAAAACGAGAGCGTTACCGCCTCCGGCAAGAACGGGTTTCTCCACGAGCGGTGCTTTTCGGCAACACTGCAGTGCTCCCTCTGAGCTCGTTGCAACCTATGCATATCGACACATGCTTGCGTGTGCGATGGACACCAGTCGACCCCGCTTTCAAGACGCACATGGTATGAAATTTTGAAAGGTGTTTTCGACGCGGGGAATTATGTTTCAAGCTTCTGGGGGCGCCTCTATATTGTACATCTGCGGAGCACCCCGCTCCTGAGGTTTTGTGTGTCCTCAAAGCGGGGAGTTGACTTGAGTCGAGTGTCTTAAAGGCGGGAACGACTATATGCCACAAGGCCAGCGTTGAATGAACAACGCCATGTCACAGAGGGCGATACCCGTACCCACCTCCACGACTGAGGCCTCCTCAGAGCGATAAGCGTCCTGCAGCTCGTTGAGATGATAAAAGGTCAGACCCGCCGTCTCCAACCCTGCACGAGGGCAAGACCACACGACAAGGGAGACGAGTTTGAGGAAGGTACTGTAAATGCCTTTGCTGTTGATAGTGGTGTTTGTTGTCTTCACATCAAACATCACGCTGAGCGAAAGTCGCAAGCGAAAGAAGGCATTCATGGCAATAACACCGAGAGCTGCCGAGAGGAGTAATTTCATGCCATGCGTGAAGACAGCAGAAATACCGGCGTTCCTAATGCTGATCGCGAGCGCATGTTACAGCCAGCACGACAGTCATCTAACAACACCGCAGGAGCTACCTTGCGTGGAAGTGCTTCTACCCAAAGACGGTTCCGATCATTAAGTAGAAGTGTTCCCACGATGGCGGGGGGTGTACTCATTGTCGTGCATGCCGTAGTCGTTAGACCACTGACCTCGCATCCCTACAAAGCCGGGACGGAGCACGCCGGGTTCTCACCGGACCAGGCTCTCACACTACCAAGCGCGAAGCGCCGTGAGATATTCGGCGAGTCGCATGAAGGGTGCGCTGCATCCCCTTAAGGGTGTTCGGCATCTTGTGCTTACTTCCTTGCGTACGGATGACAGCTGCGTATGACTTAATTTACTTTCTGGTGCTTTCACTTCCAGAGACAGTTGTAAGCACTGTGTAACTGCCTCGATTGAGGGTGCTTGACCATTTCAACACAACGTGGTGCGATCATCCCCCTTGCGCGGAGTGAGGGTTCTCCACCCCGCACAACATGATCTACTCGACCACCATTATGGTTACCGCCAACAAAAAAAACAGAGGTAAAAAAAACGGTAACCTGGTTGCCGAGTTCACTAAGTGAATTGGCTTGTTTTACAACGTCATTGCCAAGCGACGAAAACCCAATCCCGATGGCACACACCGGGGGGGGCGGCTTGTTTTACAACGTCGTTGCCAAGCGACGAAAACCCAACCCCGATGACAAACACCGGACACCCACGATGGGGGTTGCAATTTTCACGGTGATGGCCTGAAAACCAAAAAAAAGTTGTCGACCTTCCCTAGAACGCAAAGACCAATGGAGAAGAAATTGTGCCCTAGCCATTGTCGTCTGACTTCCATGCCGATTACTTAGAGCAAGTACAGACGTGAGCCCGACAATATTTTCGACTGGCGACTCAAGGCTTTCCTCACCGGGAGCTAACCCGCCGCCCGCCACGGATGCCGCTCTTGGTATGTCGACCCTCTTGTCGAAGAACAGTCGAGTGGCGACAACGTCGACCCCCCTGAGGTTAGAGAGCGCCTGGAATTCTGGCTGCGACACCAGCTCGGGGGAACTCCGGACCAATGCCTGCAAAATATGGCACAGATTTTCCGCATGGCAGCGGACCGACCGGCGTGGCATAGGGTGGAAAATTCGCGTGGGGAAAAGACAGACAGTTATAACTACACCGATAATAGGATCTCCAACCTTGACAGTCTCGGCGTCATCTAATTATCGATGCCCGGTTCGACCGGTAAACGGTACATATAAATTAGCGACTCGTACGACGAGCAGCCATTGTTGCACAATTGCTACATCCGTGCCGGTCACATCATCTGGCGGACTGGAGTGGGGTTCTCGCCTATGCTGAATAATGACAAACCCATGTCACATCCTCAATGCTGCAGGCTCACACGTTCTCAGCATTAATTGTGGTCCACTCTATGTGTACACCTCGTGCCTGCGAACCATCCCATCAAAGAATCGTCCAACGCCGTTGTGATATTCCCAATCCAAAATTTGGGTGAAAGGTCAGATCATCGTAGTTTCAGCCGACCGAGCTTTGAGCTTTTTCCACAGCTCTTGCGAACCAGTCAGTGCACCCTGCCGTCAGCACAGATAATTGCTTTAACTGTAATACATGTTATTTGCCGTCTAGTCTCGTCCCAGGATTATGTCGACCTGTCTCATCGTCAACGGAGAGCCTGGAACCCGACAAAAAGCTTCCGGTAAATAGGGGCACTGCTATGCTTTGTTCAAATACATGTCCATAGAAACTGAGGCAGCTGCTACTTCTGCAACAGCGAACCAACAGTATGAGGTCTAACCTTGGCGGCTGTTATGCCGACGGCGAGCACTACGGCATCCGGCTTGAAGACCTCTCCGTCTGTTGTCTCCACCCACATGGAGCAATCGTTACTCTCGGCATCAGGGTCATCATCGACAGCACCACCCCCATCAGCTTTGCTCAATGCTTCGCCGTCGCCTGCGCCTTGCCCCTCCCCATTTTTCTCGTCTCCCTCGTTGCCTTCTCCGCCGCTCGACGCCATCTTGGCTACGCCAGCAACCGTACCCAAAGTGCCCTCCGCTACCGGCAACTCCTTGAACCGGATGGTCGAGACTCTTTTGCCTCCGATGACCTTGCCGCCATCCCTCTCTATTGATCTCAGCCAGGGGGCGAATATCAGGTCGGATGCACTCCCGCGGAGCCATCGCACATCGAAGTCGCCCTCGGGGACAACAAGGCACCATGGTGGCAGACAGAGGCACAGCGAGAACACAAGGGATTTTTCACACGTCCTTTGCAGAAGAGACAAATCACCACCAAAAATGTTCAAGCACCAACAAAATGTTCAAGCCGCTGCATCGCGACCGAGATTCACGGCACGCACGCAGAAAAGGCGCAAAGAGGGCGGTGCCAGTGCACCACTACCCTGGTTTTCCAGCGTTGCGCGTCGAGAGCACAGGATTCTGTGACAAACCACTGCTTTGTCTCTGGCTCGGGAGTATATGGCTTCATGCTGTGAAAAATAATGTGAAGGTTCCGAATGCCTGCATATATTCATAGTCGACCCTACATGTCGAGGCAGCTATCAACGTAGATAGATGTATGCAGATACCTGGTGCTCCAGCGCGAAGTACTGGAAACAGCTCAGGGCCGCAGCCGCGCTGCAATCTTCGCCGGGGCACATCGGCAGCACCAGCAGCATCGGTTCTAGAAACTCGTCGTACAAGCGCTGAGAAACGCCGGCGTTTCGAAAAAGCTGCCTCACAACCACGAGCAGAACGTGGACAGAGAGGTGGAGGTGTACTCATTGTCGTGCATGCCGTAGTCGTTAGACCACTGACCTCGGATCCCTACAAAGCGACGGAGCACGCCGGGTTCTCGCCGGACCAGGCTCTCACATCACCAAGCGCGAAGCGCCGTGAGGTATTCGGCGAGTCGCATGAAGGGTGCGCTGCATCCTCTTAAGGGTGTTCGGCATCTTGTGATCACTTCCTTGCGTACGGATGACAGCTGCGTATGACTTAATTTATTTTCTGGTGCTTTCACTTCCAGAGACAGTTGTAAGCACTGTGTAACTGCCTCGAGTGAGTGTGCTCGGCCATTTTAACACAACGTCGTGTGATCATCCCCCTTGCGCGGAGGGAGGGTTCTCCACCCCGCACAACATGATCTACTCGACCACCATTATGGTTACCGCCAAAAAAAAAACAGAGGTAAAAAAAACGGTATCCTGTTTGCCGAGTTCACTAAGTGAATTGGCTTGTTTTACAACGTCATTGCCAAGCGACGAAAACCCATCCCCGATGGCAAACACCAGGGGGGGGGGGCAGAGAGGTGGGAATGGGATTTAGGTGGCGGCATAGGGAGTCCGTCAAACCTGTCGCCACGTCTAACTGCTAGACTCAGGAAGGGCCTCGTACCAACCAGTTCGTACTACCCAGCATTCGCGACGAGGTTGGATACCAGTTTAATTGTACGCATTTACAGCGACTTGAAGCTTTTCAGACCACCGTCATTTCATGCAGATCCTGGCGAAATGATCGGCTGCAGTGTAATCCATGTGTAAAGTTGGACTTGGAAATCGGCAAAGGGTCCGGCTCGCTCTGCAACAGGTTCAGCTCAAGCTTAACCGTCAAGGCGAAGATGATGTTGGCGACTGCTGTGAACTTTGCGCCGGTAGGGCCGTGGTTGCGGTTGTTCATTCTCTGCCCTGCTACTCGGAAATATTTCGACCAAGGCCCACCTCTCACCTCTCTGGCTGTAATCTTGTCGTACCGCCGCCATGCCTCCTCGCTACCGTCGAAATCCAAGAACGCCTTCATCAAGCCCAGTGCGCTCGCTCTGTCTGGCAGTCCCAACCGGCTGCCACGGTAACGGAGGACGGTAGAAAATGCCAGGTATGATCGCGTCGGTCCAATCATTATCGTGTATGCAGTCGACGTTTCGTCAAGACGAGGTGAACGACCAAACGAAAATCCTTCGCGGAGAACAACTCACGCAGAAACGTTATATGTCGTGTGTACGTCACTACCAAACAACGAACCGCACGCTCAGGCCAAACCAAGCAGCAGTTATTTTTTCTTTTTCTTCACTTCAAATCAGCGCTCACAGCCCTAGTGCCGTTTACTCCAACCCGTGGTCTCACAGAAGAGCCCCTCTCTACCCTCTCCTCCTGCGGTAATTTGCCTTCGATTTTTCACGCGAGAAGAGTTCACCACTTTCTTCCCTCTGTGTACACACGAACTGGCGCTATCCACTAGGCCAGGAGCGGAAGAGAGAGAACAACCCACTTTGCAAGAAAGCTCGCTTACGCCGGAATTCGAACCCCTGACCTGACCTCTAGAAGACTCCGAAGATACCAACTAGACCACCGGGGCATCGCGGGCTATGAAAGGGTACACTTCAGGCCTCAAGGGGCTCAAGGTGTGGCAGGTGGTACCGAGCTAGACACATAATCAAATACCAGCTTGCGGCGAAAGCTGCCTGTCACGTCGTTTGCGGTAAGGAGGAAACGTGCTACACAACATATTCCAGCGAAAGCAACAGACGACGGCGAAACAAACGGTCAAGCAACAACTCTACAGAAAGGATCTAAGGGGAAAAGATCGCGTACGGAAAGGCCCGCATTACGTTCCGGCAAAAACGACAACCGTGGCTGCTGATGGTGCTGGGTAGCAGCAACAAGTTTTATGCCGAGATTGTTGAAAGCACCATCACCGGCTGTTGCTTATGTGATACCGATTTCAGGTGGCGGTAGATCCTGGATTGATCGGAAGAATATCTTCTTGCGAGAGTATGTAATCTAACATCGCCTTGTGGGAACGCCCCCCCAAAGTACCTCAACCCCCAAGTGCATGACTGAGTGTACGTGTTGAGCTTTGCAGGATGCTTCAGCTACACCCTTACGTCGTTTGGCCCAACCCGCTGCAGTTGTTGAGTGTGCGCACCGCTGAAGCGTCGCCGTATACTTTGGTGTCTGTTCACGGTACAACGACGGCTGGCTCAGCAGATGAATACTACATTTGCCCTATTCTTGGGACATTTCGCTGAAGCGGTATCCCGAACAACAACAATCGGGAGAAGGGTCGAGAGAGAGAGAAACATCGATAGGGTCACAACAAATGAATAGCATCACCGGAACATTGGGTACAACGCCGGCCCAAGAGGAGCTGGGAGTCTTGGCAGCTCGCCCAGAATCGGCGCCACGACGCTAAGTCCATCCTGCCCATCGACGTGATGTCCGAGCGCACGCGGGGGAGCGCAATACATTTTTGCTCAGTCGTCGGCATCATGTCGTTTCGCGTGCATGAAGCCAAGAGTATCAAACCGTGCTGATAGTACGCTAATGCAAACTCGCCCCCTGCCAAGGGGACATAGGTGATGAACGCAGCAGCGCTTTGACCTTCGCCCCGTTGGGTTCTCTTGACCACGGCCGTCAGAGCCCTTCTGAACGTGATCGCCAGCCTTCATCATCCTTACCTTTACCCTAGTTCCGCGACCTTTGGACAGCATCAGAATCTATGAAATCCGTCGTCGAGCACCACCACTATAACCAGTACACACACAACCGATCGGATACCAGACTAACAAGAAATCCCAAACCGTTCCAAAAGTATGGGTGTGTTGACGTTGTTGTATGGCAGGTCGCGGCATCATACCTTCGTATGCAGCGCCGACCTCTCATATCTAGTGAAGACGTTCCGTGCATCCAGCCTGAGCTCTTCCGTTATCAAGCGGTCGATGTTGCGGTAGGATCTCCAAAAGCCGTGAATACCCACCTCCACCCTGCCTCGAGCGGGGAAAGTATGGCCGGCATCCGAAAATGTATAGTCTCGGAATCAGGGTGCGCCCTACCTCATGCCGAAAAGTACTCTCTACCCACCAGTCTAGGTTACAGAAGTGGCGAAACGTGGAATCCGCACGACGCGGATGCCGCATCTACGTGTACATGCAAATGCTGCCTCGCCGGGTTGCTGCCCTGGCGTCAAGTATTGTTGGAGGCAATGACGATGCCGATGACGACAATTTCAATGGCGTACACACCTCTTGCCCTTCGCCGTCTCCCACCCAGCGGCCAATCCTCCCGCGGATGGCTGCGCCTCCAGCAGGGTAACCTTGACGCCAGCGCTAGACAGGTGTGATGCCGCCCCGAATCCTGCCCAGCCACCCCCAATCACTACCACCTGGTCTCGCGAAACAACGAAAGGTTCAAGAGTTGCAACAAAAACCAATCAAAGTTCGCGGTGCATGTACCGGCCAAGACATCGGAAACACTCTGGCTCATCGCCACGAGTGTTGTAGTTTTCTACGCGAGGACTCTTGTTAGATCCGGAGGTTGGACCGGTACAGCAGCATCTTACTGTCTCGTTCGCGGTCCCCCTGTCAGCAGATCTCTCCAATTGACAAGCGGGAATGAGTGTTTCGGTCTATGTCACGAGAGCGAAGTTTGGCGTCTGTTCATTCATCGGTTCGCTGGATACATACCGCGAACAAGGCAATGAGAGAGCGCGAAATACGTTGACCTTACCCTTCAGCCTACAGTAGCCTCTTTCGCGATCCTCAGAGACGTGTCAAAGACGTGTCGAAGACGTGAATGTCGCTGTTCGTTCCGGTGGAGCGTCTGTTCATTGCACATGTCCATTGCACATGTTCATCTACCAGCCAGCTACATGGCGTGGCCAGCGCACGTGAGAACCTTGTTCGCAGCAACAGGAGCAGGGTGCACCACAAATCAAACTTGAAATTTCCACAATTCCCGGAAAACTCTCTTCCTATTATGCGTACACTGCGACATGTTCATCGTAGAACCTCGGTAGCACGCAACCTCGAGGATGTTTTTCAGGAGCCGTGACCTACATTCATTGCAGAAGGGTGAGAGGGGTAGGGGAGTATGAGAACTGCCGCCTTGTAGATCGGGTGATTAAATAGTGCTTCTCAGAGGGAGACGGGCTGGTTATGGTTTTGTACAGAATCAAGCGACGAAGGCGTGGTGATTCAGCCGGTTCATGGGGTGAGGGTAGTTGGCAGTTAGCTCACAAGCAAGCGAGAGAGAGACTTCGGGGAAAGAGAGACGGGAGAACACGTCCTGCTGTACACCACCGCATACGATTCAAGCTCGATTGCTCCACGACCAAGAGGATGCATAAACGAAACGATACGTTTTCGGAGAGCCCTCGACCACACGGCTTCAACACCGCCGTTTTCGGCGCTGTGACTCTTTCTGCTGTTGACAAATTGAGGCTTGAAAATCGGTCCACCGGGTGTGCAATCTTGTGGTCGTATACGGTAGACTGCGTCAGAAAACAGGGTGAAGCTGCAACAACCGGGTAATACCGGCACTTTTTCCGAAAATATCATTCAGAGGGCGACATTTTGGAGCATTAGGGTAGAGTGATTCCGAGTGACCCGTGATAGTCACCGATGCCGCCCCATGCCCGCTGGCCTTTTCTCTCTCTTTCTCAAGTCAGCAGTCAGCACGCACCTCCCTTTGCCCCTTCTTGCCGGCGTTGGACATTGTTTGAGGCCGTCTCGCTGATGCTGCCCTAACGGTGCCTTGAGCGCTAGACGCGAGCCCGGCTGCATTCCTGCAGAGGAACACTAGCACCCAAATAGCTTGAGGCACTAGCCTGGAGAAGACATAAGCCACGCCGCCCATCTGGGGTGTCTTTGCTGCTGTGTTACCTGTAGTCGCACAGGGACATGATGGTTCTCATGATGACGTTCGTATAGTCTATATTCCGCCGCGTATTTTTTTGCTGACCAATAGGATGCGTCGTTCTTTCGACCCCTCCAGACAACGACCACGTCCACAACCAGAAGTGCGACATACATAGGGACACGAGCAAGGCCCTGGAGGAGCAACGCGTCACCATCCATGGTTCGATCTTCCGGGACAAGCCTGGCGCTTTGAAAACCACTGGATTTTTGCGCAGGTGCGTGAAACCGTAGGCAACAAGGGAGCGAGCGCTTCGGTTGCAGGGCACGGACCTGACACAAGCCTACCGTGCAGTGGCGCAAGAGCAACAACACCCACTCCATCGCACGAAGCAGAATCATGGACACTGCTACTATTGTAGCGGAGAATGATTTCTTGCATGTGCCTTGGTCGGGTTTGCTGATGAGACAGACCTGCACGGCGCGCAGCCTGCACACGAACGACGAATCTGACAGTCCCGCGAGAGCCGCGTTCACTGCTGTTGGACGTACTCACAGCATCGGCAGATTATTGCAAGCAAGATTTCCGAGCAGATGGAGCCGGGGAGTTTGGGGGTTCAGCAGTTGCTATGGATTAGATTTGGTGGTACCAACGTTGCCGCATATTTCAGGATTGGGGGTGGGGGTATATGTGCGTCTACAACGGATATGGTGACTGTGTGTTGTGGTTTCTCACTTGTTTTTTTGTTTCCTCTTTTTCCTCCTTCCTGTGTGCAATCAAGTCCTTTTTCCACGGCTATCACGCCACGGCTACCACGCCAATCCCGGCTATCACGCCACCCGGCTATCACGCCTTCCGGACATCCACGTCCTTACTTATACATATACACCACGACTATCACGTCACCAGGCTTCCACGCCACATCCAGAGATACCATACCCGAGCTATCACGCTCCATCCCGAAGGAGAAGGCTGTCA